ATTAATCATTTGAGAATAAAGTATAACAATAATAATAATTTGAATGGTTTGATGTGATATGAACTAACCGATCTTTAGATTTAATCACCATTGGTAGTGAGTTTTATGGTAATGATTTTTCCTCAGTTGGTCAGAACAAATGTGGCAGAATTGTTACTTGTTCAGATGGCAATATACGGTGAAAATTCTTATTTGGGTCATATTCCAAGGCTTAGGCTAGAATCTGTGATTGCGAAGTACAGTAAATATCCACACCGGTGTGGTGACTGACTGCCACATAATCTTCAGAACATTAGATTCATCCGCGCTGGAGCCCTGCCGCTGCACAACCCACGCAAGCTAGATAATTCCGCACACAGCTGCAATTCCAGGTTTTCAAACAGAGATGGCGACAAAGAGGCAAAACTTACGGACTGCAGCTTTAAGAACTTTCCCTTTCAATTCATGAGTATGGAATAGCATTTCAATACTACTCTATGTTATATATATCTATATATTTATATATGGCAGAAAAAGCATGCTAATAGTATGCTAATGTGCTGTATAGCCATAATATTTGAAACAAATTGGCCCCACCCCTCAGGATATTGAATTGGAAAGATGGGAAGAGAAAATCAACATGTTGTTACAGTTATACAACAACAAAAAGGGCAAGAACAGAAAGATGGTCTACTCTAAGCTGCTTGTAACTTGTAAGCTGCTTTATGTTGTTTGGTTCCATTTTGAAGATTTGGGGGTAAACTAAAGCATTCTTGGAAATGACATGTTCTTTCACCATGGTTAATGGACCAAATTATATGTTGTATAATTTATTTAGTTTTGGACACTACCGTTCAAATGTTTGGGGTTGGTAAGATTTTTTTTAAATATTTTTGGTCAATATTACAGTAAAATAAATAATAATAATAATAAATATTATTACAATTTAAAATAACTATTTCCTATTATAATATTTTTTAAAATCTAATTTATTCTTGTGATGGCAAAGCTGAATTTTCAGCAGCCATTACTCCAGTCTTCAGCGTCACATGATCCTTCAGAAATTATTTTTATATGCCGATTTGGTACTTAAGCAGAATTTCTTATTACTATCAATGTTGAAAACAACTGTGCTGCTTCATTGTTTTTTTAAGCATGATACATATTTTTCAGGATTATTTTTATGAATATAAAGTTCAAAAGAATGCATTTATTTGAAATAATTATATTTGCAATAATGTAAAAGTCATCGATTTAATCAATTTAAGGCATCTTTGCTGATTAAAAATTTTTTTTTAAATTTCTTTTCCAAAAAATACATACAGATTTCTCTGAGAAATATTGGATAAATTATGACATTTGTTAATAATTTGTTAATATCTAATGTTTCTGAAAATATCCCATATGTACTGTTAAAAAACCCAACTTAATGCTATTTCCTTAAACTAAAATTACACATACAGTTCTGTTTCTGTTTGCTACCTTAATCCAAATTCAATTCAAATTTGAGAATTGAATATGAAACATTCTCAATAGAATTCTGAATGGCGCACAACACTAAAACATAATTTAGCAGTAGGGAAGCAATATGGCGAAATGTGTATGAGTCTGTGGTGGTATTTCTATGCGTGTGTGTGAGCTGGTTTGAGTTCGTGAGTGGGATGGATTGTTTGCTGTGTGCATTTGAACCGAAGCCAGGGCACATGTGTAGGAGGAGCAGCACAGAGTGAGTGAATCATTAGGACATTTGCTGTATTATTTCTGGTCAGTGTGCTGAAGATTAAAAGATTATCTGCAGGTTAGAGACGTGCCAGTGCTTGGAAATTGTTCAGGTTGGATAAAATGCTTAGGATGAAAAAAAATCATGTTTTGTTCTCACATTATCATTGAAATACACTCAAATAAATATACACTAAATCATTTTTTTGTTGCCTCGGTGTGTAGTGTGATATATTTGTGTGTGGTGTGTGAGTGAGATAGAAAAGGTAGGAGGGATGCAATCACTGATTGCCGAAGGCAAAAGATCAAGAGGTGCTCCTTATGTAACATGTAAATGAATGTGCACTGGGCACTGTGTGCTAAACGATTTTATTTTTAAATGCATTCTAGGTACAAAAGCAGTGTAGGCTGACAGAAATAAGGACTGAAAAGATCCAGAGAGTGTCAGAGGAATTATGCTGAGAGTTTGAAACCTGTTAAGAGATTTGATGTGGCAGATTTGGCCTTAATGCAAGTCATTTTAAAGGAATAGTTACCCAGAAATTAAATTCTGGCAACATTTACTCAGACATTATTTATTAAGTGGAACACAAAATGAGGAGTTAAGCTAAATATCAGAGCTGCATTTTCCATACAATGAAAACTACAATAAGCATCATAAAAGTGGTCCTCATGACTAGTTTACTTTGTTACAAGTCTTCTGAAGCCATATGATATATTTGTGTGAGGAAAAGAAAGGCACCATTCAAATTCTGTTAATGACAAAGAGCAGCGTGGACATTCTGCTATTAATATCTCCTTGAAAGACATTAGGATAAGTAAACAATGACAGATCCTTTTATTAAAATAATAACCTTTCACATCCTCTGTCGATTCCATAAAACCAATGAAACCAAGGCAACATTTACACCTAAATGAATTTTTAATTGATATTCTATGTACACTGAATACAAACATAAAAAGATATCATAAAAAAACAACACTTTAAAATGCATGGCACTGTTGGAGACATGTAAATTTTGAGGTCGATACCATATTTGCATGAAGCTAGTTGACATTGATTGCAAAGCATTTACAGTCAAGCTTTGCTTTTAAAGTTCATTCTAAAGTGCATTTAAATTCTAAAAAAAACATAAATATATAGTGAAAACCCTGGCTTACATATCTTAGACATGATAATAAAAACAAATATATTTTATTAAAATATATATATCTATTTATTACTGAGTTTAAAAGTAACACAATGTCTGTACTAAATAAGCATCATGTTTAGGTAACTAATTTATTTTTATTTATTTATTTGCATTTGTTTGCTTTTTTGTATTTGCTATTTTGGATGATGCAGAAAGAGAGCTTTTTATCCCATATCCCGAACTCACTGAGGTTATAAAGGTCTGGCGACACACTGCTGTCATTAAAGAGCCGTTTTGTCCATTGAGGTGTCTTTTAATTTTTGTGAACTCAAGTTTTGGCTGCTGGAAAGAGTCGGGTCTGGTCTTTTAGATGGTTGCGGTGCTGCTTGTTGCATCATGAAGTATTTTAATATACGCTTTCCAATGAGATAAACCATTTCGCAGATACACATGAAGATGCAGAGAGCAGAGGAGGTCACCATGAAGAGAGTGAAGATTTTCTTCTCTGTGGGACGGGAGATGAAACAATCCACTGTATTCGGACAAGGATCCAGCGAACACTTTGTGAGGCGAGGGAGGTCATATCCTTTATACACGTGATGAAGAATATAGAGAAAGGCCGCATCAGCTGTGGCTTTAAAGATCAAGCTTAACAGGTAGGTCCACCAAAGACCCCCACGCTTTTTCCCAGGGTTGGCGTATAAATGGGTGCCCTCGTGGACGGCCGTGTACTTCTTGTCTTTTTCCTCTCTGTATTTGACGTGGGCTACGACCAACAGCGACGGACATGTGACAAAGATGAGCTGTAAGGCCCACAGACGGATGTGAGAGATGGGGAACGTGCTGTCGTAGCAGACGTTGGTGCAGCCGGGCTGCCTGGTGTTGCAAATGAAGTCTTTGCTCTCGTCGCCCCAAACGCGTTGAGCTGCCACCACAAACACCAGAACACGAAACACAAACACCACAGACAGCCAAACTCGACCAAACACTGTAGAATATTTATTGACCCCGCTAAGAAGGTCCTCCAGTCCTGACCAGTTCATCCTTGATCACAAACTATGTCCTGAAATAAGACATATGAAACTCAATACTTTTGCACAATGACAAGGATAAAATCACAGAAACAGGCCATTCTAGTTTGGGTCAGTGAATCTCTTGACAACTGGTGTCATGAAAGTATGGCCTAAATTTAACCAAAAACCTAATGGGTTTTCATCATGTAATTTTTTGTGTTGCTGATTATCTTTTTAATTAGCCAGTGGAGATTTTGTCTCCGATTAATATTTAAACTCCGGAGGCGTTCAGCCATGCATAACAGGTACTCCAGATTGTTTCTAAAACTCTAATCAAAAAGTTTGCAAAATCTGATTCTGTTCTGTGTGCTTTAAATGGACGTTATGACAGGTAATCTTATAATAAGGGTTTTTGCAAACACAAGGGTGACACATTTAAATATATAACAAGCAGGTGTTGACATGCATTTCCAAACAGGGTTTCACCTGCTCATTATAAATCCTTGCTGTTTTCAATTTGCAGGCAAAAATCATATTTTTTTGGAACCCGTGATGCTTTTTTTCAGGATTCTTTGTTGAATAAAAAGTTAAAAAGAAGAGCATTTATTTAAAATAGAAATATTTTCTAACAATATACATTACTGTTCAAAAGTTTGGGGTCAGTCAATTTTTATTTTTTCTTTTTTTTTTGAAAGAAAGAAATTAAAACTTTTATTCAGCAAGGATGTGTTAAATTGTTAAGAAGTGATAGCAAATATTTATATAGTTAGAAAAGATTTATATTTTGAATAAATACTGTTCTTTTGAACTTTTTATTCATCAAAGAATCCTGAAAAAAGTATCGCAGTTTCCAAAAAAAATATTTGGCAGCACAACTGTTGCCAGCATTGATAATTCTAATAATAAATCAGCATATTAGAATGATTTCTGAAGGATCATGTGACACTTTAGACTGGCGTAATGGCTGATGGAAATTCAGCTTTGCATCACAGAAATAAATTATATTTTAAAGTATATTAAAATAGAAACCATTATTTTATATTGTAATAACATTTTGCAAGATTACTGTTTTTTCTGTATTTTTGATCAAATAAATGCAACCTTGAGCATAAGAGACTTCTTTAAAAAACGAATAATCCTTCAGAAATCATTATGCAGTGGCGTTGCTTAATTATTATTATTGTTTTTTGTATAATACATTGTTTTCAGGATTTTCTGATGAATATAAAAATAGTATACTTGTATAAACAAAATGATACAACAAAATACTCCATCTTTTTTATTAGTCCACTTTGTGCTTCTAGCCACATATACGAGTACTAACTAAAATGTAGTATTTTCATGTAGTTTCTTACAATTCCTATGTTGATAAGACATATCTTTGTTTGGTAGCTACTCAGTAATAACTAATAAGTAGCTACTAATAAAAGAAGCTTGCATAAAAGAAGATCTTACCGTGTTTTGCCGCAAAACTGATTGACATTGAAACAGGAAGCACAAAAAGAGAACAAAACAAAAAGCACAAAAAGAGGGAAAGATTGAACCTAAAGTAAAAGCCCTTAAGAAATCCTGTCCAACCTGATCTATGGCCTAGTCACCATCATACCTGAGTGTAAGTGTGGTTTACTCATATGAGACACATGTGTTGATGGAGCTGCTTTAGGAGGGTGTGGTACTGGAGTGTGGGTGGTGCTGTTCATTAGATATTATCTTACAGACAGGGACTGTAACGCGAGTTGGCCTTCACGGATACATTTTGAAGCCTTGCAGCCTTGTCATGTGTCATCACCACACCCAGCAATCTGCAAATATTATATAATACATGAAAACACATGACATTTTTCACTAAGATCATTTTTTAATCATTAAGATCAATTTTCGAAGCAGATTGCAGGTAGGCTATACAATTTTGTCGGTTTTGGCTGTTAATGGAAAAAAGGAGTAATACATGCTATAACTCTTTCTCACCAGAAGATGGTGACAACTTCATTTTTAAAATCTATGCTGTGAGATCCTTCTTAAAGTCCCCCTATAGTGAAAATCAAGTTTTTTATGTTGTTTATTTGTCTTTATGGTGTTTTTAATATGCTCACTGTAGTTGTCCGCTAGTAAAAACATAGTTTTATCAGTCATTATCCGTGTATGCAATTGTTTTGCGGTTACTACAATTCAGTGGATCAGGAGGCGCTGGCTGCTGTGTGACTGAGTGGAGGCGGGACTAATTTGCATATTCATAGATATAAGTTTTAAGGGATAAAATATTTGACTACAGGGGGACTTTAAATACTTTAATAAATATTTTAATGATATGTGTGGCCATTTGATAGGTTATATGGTTATTTTTACGTTATAAAGACATTTGTTCTATCTAATTTAATTCACATAAACATTCTTTTATATTAATTCATGCTCATTTAATTTAAAGTAAATCATTTTACCTACCACCGAAACTTTTTATATATACTGTAATAATCACAAACAACTCTTAAAATGTATAGATGTTAGAAGAATCAACGCGATTGGAACAGACCGATTAGCGGATAAAAAGGTAACATGTAGCCACTGTGTTCGTTCAAGATCATGAATATGGGCAATGTAATCATGAACAGCCAAAATGTTGCAACTGTGGGGGGAATCACAGTGTGGCTTATGGGGGGTGTGAAGTGATGAAAAAGGAAAGGGAAATACAACAGGTAAGAACTCAGAATAAGATCACATATGCAGAAGAAATAAACCTTTTTTTTTTTTTTTTTAGTAATTATTTGTTTTTATTTATTTATTTTTTGCCCTCTTATTATGAAAGGGTAAACTCTGGTTCACACTCCAATACAGTAGGTGGCGATAATGCACCTTAACATTGGTGCTACCCGCCATAAAACCGAAGAAGAAGAAGAAGACTGCGTTCGTTCGAATGTGAAAGGTGCTGTTTTATTGGCCACGTGACTGCGGTCAGCCAATCAGCGGTCATCTGTCGCCTGGTTACGGGAGCTCTATGGTCGGGGAGAGCTAGCCGGCTAGCAGCGCCTCTCAATCCTTTCTCCCTTTGTCACGGTATTCATATCTACCGTCAGCTCGTTGTAAGTATCTATATGATATTATATCTCATTTTATTCTGTCATTAATAAACATCTAGATGATCGATGGATTGTGAACTTGTTCGTGTCTTTAAATATATACGCGTTTAGCAGCTCTAACATACGCTAGTCGGACAAGAGCGAATTAATCACGTAAAAACATGGGGCTTTTTAACAATGTATTGCCATTGTAACGTAATTATACTATATTATATATAGTGTAAATGTGTATTAATGACTTGAACTGTCAGATAACAACAATGCTCTTTGTAAATAACATATATTTTTATAAACCGCCTTAAAATTCACACAATAAGGCAGTGGGTCTTATGGGCATGATGATTTATATGTGGATATTAACAAAGTTAGTATTTTATGAATGTGTGTTTTTAATTAAATGGTTGTTTAATCCGTCCTCCACAAATATAGATTAATGTGTGGTCAGCAAATGTACCCCATTGTGTTCCATGCAATTATTTTTCTGATTTAAAAGAATAGTTAACCCAATTTTTCTTTTGCTTTTGCCGTTTACTCTCTCTCATGTCGTTCCAATCCAAAATATGATTTTCTGTCTTCTGTGGAGCACAATACAAAGAGACATGTTAGACAGAATGACGTTCTCAGTCACCATTCACTTTCATTGTATGGGAAAATATGTAATAAAAGTGAATGCTGACAGATGCTGTCATTCTGCTTAACATCTCTCTTTGTTTTCCACAGCAGAAAGAAACTTACCTGGATTTGGAGGAACATGAAGGTGAGTAAATGACAGATTCTTCATTTTTGAATGAACTGTCCCTTTAAGAATCAGATAATGGTCAAAAATAGACAGTATGGGCAGTGGTGACTGAGATATGTGTCATACAGTCATAGGAATGTGTGTATGGGCTTTGCAAATTTATATCCACCTTTTTAAGATTCATCTGATGGTGTATTAGCCTAATATTATTTATATTTTATAACATAAGTCTGTACTAACACAAATAGACATAAATTAGCTCTTTTCCTTTTCCATTCTTGACTTGTTTCTTTAAAAATAATATTAACAGTTTGGAATGAAGAAAAGTCTTGTTTATTTCTTGTTTTATGTTGATTATCTTCTCTAGGTGCAAAGTAGAGACAGTCACGAATGGTGAAGATAGAATGCAGAGTTCTCAACTTGTTTTCTGTTCATTTATTGAAAGTAAGTGCGTGATAGGCGATATATACGTAAACCGACTGATGAATATTTTCCATGTATACCACCGTGTTATAATGTTGTGCAAGACCTGTTTGCTTTTTATGATGAGAGTTCATAATCCATCCAATGGCTGAAGTCAATATCTGTGGTGAAATGAGGTCTCTCTTCAGCCGTAGGGTTTATCCAGTAATCATTTGGTGTTAATGGAGACATGTTTGGTTCACTGCACTAACTTGCTGGTTGTGATGTGCCTTAGGATCCACTGCCCTGGTTATTGATTGGTCACCGTCCTTTTTCTTATTCCAGGCTGCACATTTATGGCGTTTGTCAGTGTGAGTGGAGACTTCTGCCAGGCACAGCACCTGGTCATTGTAGACAAGTGAACAGAGGGCCTGCCATATGAAGATTATACTACCTGACTGCCCGTCTTAAATTCTGCCCTTTCGGGGAGCATCTTTTTTTGTCCAGAGTTAACGTGTATGAATCGGTTTGAGCCAATCCAGGTACTAGAGAGCGAATCGTTCTTTCTCTTTAGTGTCAACTGATCAGCTCTCCTCTCCTGAATGGGGTAATTATAAATTGCGAATCAGAAGGATAGTCCCCTTCTTTTAGTTTTTATTTTAAAGCTGTGGGAGCGTGAAAGTGGTCTCCTTCTCCT